GGTCCGGGACGCGAACTGCCGTCAACTACATGGGAGTCCAGCAACATAGCCATGACGCCAACTGCTGGTCCCTGTTTTTCCTTTTTAACTTGCCAAAAAGCGTGTGTATTTGTCTGAGGGACAGAAGGACAATGAGAAAGCACTTCTAACGGGTCAAGGTCAGGACACTGTCTCTTTTTTCACTCTCTCCCCTTCTTTCCAGGACTCTGGGCATGAATCACACACATACCTGGCTTGTTTCTTAAGTCAAAGAGTCCGGGACTTGAACCGCATGGTTGGCCATGTGGGATCCAGTGGCTTTAATCACCAGACCATGAGCTAATCCTAGAATTTTTTTTTCCCCTAAGGTTTTTGCCCTAAGCGCATGCGCTTGCCAGAGAGAGAGAGACAGCGAGAGAGGAAGCGAGAAATCACCTTCTAGAGGGAATGGCCACGCTGCAATCTCTTCTGCTCCATTCCCCTCTTGGGATTTTGGGCACGCACGCACATACACACACGTGCCCGGAGTGATTTTCTTTTTTCTTTTTTTTTTTATGAGTGTTTTGCTATAGGGTGCGTCCACTCTCCATGCAGACAGAGACAGAGAGACAGAAAGCGAGAAATCACCCCCCAGAAGGGATGGCCATGCCGCAATCCCTTCTCCTCCATTCTCCTCTCGGGATCTTGGGCACGCACGCACTCGCGCTCGGAGTGAGTTCAAGCCACCGGGTCCGGGACTCGAACTGCAGTCGGCTACATGGGAGTCCAGCGACATAGCCATTACACCAACTGCTGATCCTATAACCAATGTGAGTTCTAAGCTGCCAGGTCCGGGACTCGAACCACAGTCAGAGTCCAACGATGTAACCATTCCACCATCTACTGGCCTCTCCCGGGAGTTTCCAAAGGGAGTACCATGCCAGCCAGACCTTGAGAGGGTCAGGGCTGTCCCCTGGGAATGAGGTCAATCCCGTGGTGGTCTCCAACCTTAGCAACTTCTGGAATGTGGAAGTCAATCCAGCCTGGTCCCTTGTCCCCAGATCCTTAGCTAATGACATCATGGTTCACCCCGCAGCCAAGTGGGAGGAGAGGGGATGCAGGCAGTAAGCCAGCCCTGACCTCAGCGGCCCTGGTGGCGGCGTTTTTCATCCATAGTTATCTCTGCTTCATGGAAACTGAGCCAGGGTGACAGGAAGCAGAGCATGCAAGCCAGAGCTCAGGTTTTCCCTCCCCGGACCGGGTCCCCAACCTCCCAGCACCCTCTCTCACCGATGGACACTTTGGTCAAATATTTGTGACTTACAGGAAAACATCTAAACCCGTTCCATTGGGTTCTCATGATGAGAAGGCAAATACGCTCATAGCAGGGAAACCTGGAAAGAGAAAAAAAAAAAAAAGGCGAATTATTTTTGAAGCTTCTGTGAGTCCAGGGGTCAGAGAGATCTGCTGAAGCCTCCACTGTGACCGTCCCTCGAGGTCAGCGTGTGCGTGCGAGAGAGATTTCTGGCTTCGCTTCCCTTTCTGAGATCCCAAGAGGCCAGGTGGGGTCACGTCTATAATCTTCATCTCGCTATAACGGAGCGCTATGATTCGGTGATTCAGGGATGCTCCCTACCGCCCGCCCTTGGTGTAGAATCATACAATATAGGGACCAGCCGTTGGCGTAATGGTTATGTCGCTGGACTCCCATGTAGTCGACCGCGGTTCGAGTCCCGGACCCGGTGGCTTAAAACTCACGCCGGGCGCGTGTGCGTGCGTGCCCAAGATCACGAGAGGAGAATGGAGGAGAAGGGATTGCAGCATGGCCATCCCCCCTGGGGGGTGATTTCTCGCTCTCTGTCTCTCTGTCTCTCTCTGGCGAGCACATGTGCCCTATAGTAAAAATATCTCTCTCAAAAAAAAAAAAAAGAAAAAAACTCCTTATCTCTGTTAAAGTTCAACTTGGGCATTCCTTTTTTGTGGACTCAGAGTGTTTCGAAGAAAAAGACTTGTGCTTCAAACCAATGAGCAACCTAAGAGTGTATTTACTTACTTTTTAAATTGTGCACTAGGGCACATGTGCTCACCAGAGAGAGACAGAGACAGAGAGAGAGAGAGAGGGAAAGTGAGAGAGCACTCCCTTGAGGGTTATTTCCATCAATAGTTTTCTTTTTTTTTTCTCTGTTAAATTTAACTTTATTAGGACCAGCAGTTAGCGTAATGGCTATGTCGCTGGACTCCCACGTAGTCGACTGCGGTTCGAGTCCCAGACCTGGTGGCTTAAAACTCACGCCGGGCGCGTGTGCATGTGTGCCCAAGATCCCGAGAGGAGAATGGAGGAGAAGGGATTGTGGTGTGGCCATCCCCCTGGGGGGTGATTTCTCGCTTTCTGTCTCTGTCTCTCTCTCTCTCTGTCTGGTGAGCGCACGCGCCCTATAGCGAAAACCT